GGGATCCGAGCAAGATGGGCCGACCGTGGTACCAGACTGGATACTGGGTGCGGACCCATGAGTCGAGCCAATTACAGCGCGAGGGGGCTGGTCGGCGTGGGATGGGGAGGCGGAAGCAGCTGGATAATTCATCTTCAGAAAAGGGGATAAACAACTGGAGCGGCGGGCTGGGGGCTGGGGAGTACTTCTGGAGATTTGACTTGCGTAGTAGCCGGCGAATTGAGAAGTATCAATGAAGTCACCTTAAGCAATACTAATTATATAAGTTTCATGTCCTACAAAAAATGTGTGTATTGCACAGCATGATTCTAGCGACCTGCTGTCCCTCATATAATCCATTTTTCTAACAATCCAGGAGGCTGCGACCCATTATTAAAGGCCAAGGGGCAAGAATGAATTGTATGTAAACCATAATATGACTATTAATACGATACAACCTACCCTATACGAAACTGGTGACACAAAAGTTTGTTAACAAAAGCACAATGTAAGACTCCACAAGCACCCAGCTCACACAAAAGTATCTTTTCCATCACATGCGCAGCTCATTACAGTACATGCTGCTACGAATTGCCCACATTAAACCTCCTCTTTCTTATGTAGGTCTCATGACTCAACCGGCTACCAGGAAAGGCGCGGTCGTTATGGATGGTATTATAAATCTGTACAAGACGAGGTCGCCAGGTTTCCTTTGTTTAGAGAGAGGTCACACTGACTCTTCAAATCCCGACCCAGTCAGTACCTTTGTTCTCGTCGAGAGATAAACGTCAAAGTCGATCCCTGATTTTGAGGGCCTCTTTTGAGGTCAGAATTTGGAGTCCAGCATAAAGGGAGCGTTGCTCTCCAAGTTCCACAAAGTATTAACTACGTGTCCGCAAGGAACGTTGAGTATTCCGCGATGCACTAGCGAACAGGAGCTGGAACCGAGAGTCAGACTTGCTCGTTTGCTATCACACGAGTTGCAACGGCAGGTGCAGACTCAAGCATGCCTCAGTTCTCTAACTCACCGTACCAAAAGTTGTTCGCTGCCCCTAAGCGAGGCCTTTACACGCCTACGCATGCGGCCGTTCCACATAAAATTGAGAACAAGACAAATTTTGTGCTTTTAGAGCACTTTTTGACCCCACAAATCACAACCAAACAGAAATACCGACTGTGCCCGAGCGAAAGCGGTTGGGAAACACCGTGAAGAAAGCACGACGCATGATACATCTCATAGCTTGTAATAGAGTTTTTGTGAAGCAGACGTCAAATCGGAGCATTAAATAGGGCTTAATTTTTTTAGGTATAATGCACGACGCAGAAGTCGAGGTGGATGCTTGCTAACATTGAATTTTTTTTAGGCCAACAGCCCTACTGAGCCTGCTCATACAGCTACAAAAAACATCTTACATTTAAACAAATTCTGGCCCACTCGTTCATGGAATTGCGATGCGTAGAGCAATGCTACCTTTTCTTTTGTGCAGAATAGACAGAGTGTGTGAAATTTTGTAAGTGGTAAAGAGAACTTAAAGTTGAGAATACTTCTTGAATAAGGATATCTCCTCTACCTCAACCGGTACTGCTTACGGCTCTGGTAAGTCCGCCGGTCCTTATTCAAGCGGAACACCTTTTGCTCATAGAGCAGTGCCGACGGTGTATGACTGACTCTTGTGGGCCATGCCGGTTGTGACAGCACTTCTGTTATCTCCGAAGGTCTCGGTGCACGCACGAAACTGATATGGGTCACACTTTGGACTCCTGGCTAGGCTTTCTTAGTGGTACAGAACCTTGCCGACAGATATTTGAGCAATCGGTGATTCATTCTTTTACAAGATGCAGAAAATAAAGACTCGGTCGTCGACTTGACGAAAGATGCTACAAAGTACAACGGTTGCCGTGTACCTCGCATAGATAGAGTATTGATTCACCCTGAAGCAGAAACGAAAACCATTCAAGTAACGGAACACTATTTTTTCTCCTATGTTTCAGGAGAGACATTCATTCAAAATGATGTCTAGTTTAAACTGATACTATATATATCAGGAGTACTATTTCTTATTGTTGCTTCTGACGATGTTCGAGAGAGATACCGAGATTGGGCACCGGCGTTGCATTTTATTCACGGTGGATATCAATTAGGCTTAGGATGCTATTAGTGGTGCACTTTAAATTTATTATGGTCTTTTGAGATTCAACAGCGCTGTCGTATTGCCAATCTAGCATAAAACTATCATATCTCATACAATATGAGGCATGGAAAGTTTCGTAGATGAACGCCCAATAGACTGAAAACCTATACAGCTTAGAGGTATCTACATTTGTACACTACATTCAGATACTAATAAGCTGGATCTGACGCAGCAAGCCAAGCTTCATCCTAGGTAGATTGAGTAGTCACTTCGTCTGGTACTTTTAATATAGACGGCCTTCAAAATTCAAGTCAATGATAATACTCAAATCGGTATCGCCTGTGATACTCTTTATAGAAGTTCATCACTACTTAGTATAGTAAAAGACTCATAATTGGTAAATGCACTAATATTTTTTATGCTATCCCACGTACTAAGGATGCAAAAGTGTTGGTCAAGATCTCGTAGAGGAAAAATGTTCTGTTTGAAAATGTCGATCTCAGTTTGAACCAGATTGCAGCCACGAGAGTCACATCGTAGAGAATTTGGGTGTACAATGTTAAAACACTACATGTCCACACTCGCCTATAGCCAAATCAAGTCAATTTTTTCCACCTCGTACAGAGGCAGTTTTGTGGGTCATACATAATGATGCTAACTATTAGTGACGGCTCGTGGTGCTTGTCTCTGCGTTTCTGTTCGCGGTAAAGATCTTTACAATGGTGAACTACTCAACGGCGAGTAACACAAACTTAAATTGAAAAGGCTGCGCAAGCAATTGTGAGTTCTTCACGGAACGAACCAAGGTTCAAGTAAGTTGATTGCTCGAGCTCATTTGAATATGGCACAAGCACGTCATCATACCAGAACTCCGTAATCATCCAAGCATACAGAAACCCTTAGGCAGACGATACACTACGCTGTTAGTGCTGCTAATTTACTTAACGATTGTATAATGTTCGTGTTAGCGAATTCTTTATGTTCTCTAGTTGGCTGATAGCGCGATGGTGGTTCATTTATTAAACAGTGTCTCTATATCATGATGCATTTTGCCCCGCTTGAGCACGGTCTCCGGATATGAAGCTCTGGACTACAACCCAAATTATATTATTATAGTGGATGATGGGGGAGAGGAAAGCTAAAATGTCTGTCTACCCCTTCACATGGATTAAACATCCATCTGCATATTGGTGAAATGGTAAATGTGGATCGGATAAACACATGTTTGGCTAATACATGCTGAACGTACGGTTTCGCTCAGATGGTCAGCATTCTCACAATCCGATATATCATGTTACCATTTCGTGTCACGTTCATTGCATCGGCAGTGCTCCTAACGCTTGCTGTTGCACAGCACGTTTCATTGTACAACAAGTCTGGCATCAGTTGGCCATCTTTGCGCTTCCACTTTACAATTAAACGTGCCGCCTCAAAAATTCACGGTTACTCCAAGTTCTCTGTTTTCGCCCATCCTATTATATCTAGCAACGCAACTAGTGTGCTTTACAACACGTTTGTCTCGTTTGGAATAAATGATGCGCTCGTTAACTATTCGCTTGTTGACGGAATAGAGTACGTCTCTCGCAGCTCTCTTGACGGATCAGAAAACAGAGTACAAATTAATTGCATCGAGAGGGATGTTCTACTTCCAATCAACTCGATTGTGGCGGCTCTGAATGAAGCGGAGAGAGTGTCAACCACCTTAACAAGCGACGGCTCGGCGATCTCATGCCCAGGTGGTAGCACGTACAAAGCTTCGGTAAATGGTATTCACTTTGGTGTGTGCTTCACTGAGAATTCTGGGTTAATCATGTACGGCACTGATTTGGATATTCAAGTGGAGTACGTAGTGACTGACACACCGATATTCGCTCCTACCATAAGGGCCATGGAAAGACGCAAGTGCAAAAAGAAATTAACATCAATTTTTGTCACATCAATTGGCAAGGCTTTACTAACTGGACAGCACATTTCGATCGGTGATGCGAGGAAGCTCAAAGTAGCGTTCGATTTCTCGCTTTCGCAGCCTTCGTGCTCGTGCAAATCGAAGCTTCGCCCATGCATCTTCATCCATGGTCTTGGAAGTCTAGTTGAAGAGAAAGAGAACTTGGATTCGTTTCACTACTGGGGAAATCTAACCGACCGTACGCCCTGTTGTTCGTCGACTAAGTTCGCAGTGCTCAACACACTAAATAATTCCTGGACGGACAGCAATCAACAACAAAAAGTGTGCGATCACATCCTCAGAGCAAGCAATTCTAGCAATGGCACAAACATCTCGGATACAATTATTGTATCACACTCGATGGGTGGACTATTGGTTGCAGGAGCAGTCGCAAGCGGGAAATGCCGAATTGACAACAGCTCCACATGGGTCAGCACAGGAACCCCGATACTCGGAAGCATGGCCTCTGATTATTTTCAGGAATCGTGCAAGGATAAGACGAATCTTTTCATGGAAAAATTCGTTGAAACGACGGGCTTTTGTCCTGCAGACGACGGTATTAAATCACTAGCTTATATCAACGAAAGTTATTGTAATCCGACGCTCATTCACGCCTACATGGCTGCACAGCAAGTCTATCGCGAAAATGTGTACGCTTTAATGTGCAGCAGCAGTTTTTCAGGTATCATTTCCTCGTATCAGGTCGGCTTCTGGCTATTAGGCAGGGTAGTCTCGCACAAATCTCTAGAAAATGACGGCATGGTCGAATTTCTCAGTTGCGCAGGAGGATTTCCCAGATCAAAATTTGGAATGAGCTACAGCGATCGCTTTTATATGTCGAGCCTCAATCACTTTGATGTCGCTTTCAGAGCGGGTGATGCACTTCTCGATCCAAGGAAGATGCCTGTGAAGTGGCTTGAGTGTTTACTGTAGACTAAATCTAAATAGGATTGTAATTATATGATACAAGGTTTAAGGATGTTGGAATGTTTTTTATACGCGATATGAGCTGATGCAGCCAACAGGGGCGCATTGCTGCACCAAAGGTTCCAATACTTAGGAAGCAACCGGCTCGACGCTTTTGATGTATTTTCTCAGTATCAATATACTAAATATATATGGGAGA